AAAAGCAACAAGGAGAAAATAATCAAATAGCACCCGCGTGTCTCTATCCTCATCTGTTTTGCTCACGTTTGAGAATGGGGGTTTAAAAGAAACAAACTCAGGTATAGGAAATTCTTGCTAGTTATTCCAGCTTTTTCAGGTTTCCTTCTGTCAAAATAAGTATTTTATGTTTCACCCAGTTTTACTGAGTTTAAATTGCACATGCCTATTCCCCTTGCAGTCCCACACACATGCATTTAAAAGGTTGTGTGTTTCCCCATTTGTGTGTGTGTGAGCGTATGTCTACACGAGTTTGAATTTGCCTGTGTGTCTTTGCTCGGAGCAATCCTACAGCAGTAATTCAGCGGCAGGGTGCCACGCTTTAATGTGTGACTTTGTGCGCTGCTAGGAGTTGGCAATTTAAAACTTGTTCTTACCTTTTTATATGCTAAAACCAAGCTTATAAGCATGGTCCTCTTTTACAAATCTAAATCATGAAACATGAACATGTTCTCAAGCACGACTGATATCCTCATCTTTAGCCACAAATGGCCAAACACTCTCTTAATTAATCATGTTTGTATAAAAATGCAATTTGCAACGCAAGTTTAGGAGTAATGACAAACATGATAATTTTAAAAATGTCATCGGTACCACAGCTAACCACAGCTTACCAAATGCCCATTGCCAATAAACATTGTGGATTCAGTATAGGCAGCCCCTTAAAAGGTAAAAGAAAGGTTTCCCAACTAAATCAGAGCAGTCATCCATAGACTCAACCAATTTGTGGTTGCAGCTTGAAGTTATTTATACTAAATGGTGTATTATGGACCTAAAGATCAGCTTTTTGCTTACTTGCTTGCTTGAAAATATGTAAATATGTGCCTGATTTCTTTAATACATGCCAGTCCTGTCATCTCTTTCCATCTGAAGATTTCTTTTTTTAATTTTGGATTGAGTTACAGATCTGAGTACCAAGCTGGGACAGTTTTAAGAGGGTAGAAGTATATTTAGATGTTCTTTGGGGCCCACTTTTAGCATCTTGTATTACGTTTCATCTCAACTCTTAGTCCATTCTCCAAATTCAGACATGAACCTATTTTACATTTTTATGATAGTGTTTCAACTAAAAAAAACATCAAATGCTTTATTCACTGCATATTAATCATACAAATCAAATATACCTTTTATGTTTGTTTTGAAAGTAAACTAAAACGAATAATTACCATTTTAAATGCTGATCATAATTCATGTCTACCGTCTGTATTGAAAGTAATTCTCTGCATTGGTGCTTTTCGAACCGATATCCTTCTATCCTTCCTATCTGAATGCTGATCAGTCACACAAACTATACATTTGATCTTGTATCTAAGGAGCATGCAACATAGAAGTATTTTAGCTATCCATAGTTGTAAAAGAAGGTATTTTAATTGTTTTCTCTTTAAAGTGAATAAAAGGTACAGCTACTCAGTGTAATCTGGCATTTGCAGATGTCAGCCTAGAATCCCCAAAAAACATCTGCCATTTGCCTTCATTGTCAAAACACAATGAATGAGCAGCATTTCATTAAGAAACTAATCCTCAGTTGATTATATTCAGAGAAGAAAAATTGCTTGCACTAATAGTGTGTTACATGAAACTATTTGGAATTCCTATTTATTATTTAGGAATATTTGTACTCACAGTAGATATGTTATTTAAATGTTTATATGTATTTTTAGGTGCAAGTGTATTACCCAGACACATTTTCACTTCAAACACTGCTTTTCTCAACTTTAAACAATCCCTGAGAGATGGTGAATGGGGTGCTTCAAACAAAGAGATGTTGGGAATTCTTTTTTTTTAAGTCCACATAGACACAAAGCTCTAAAGCCATTCAATCATTGGGCCAGGGAAAGACTTGAACATGTTCCTGTTTTTGTCACACCAAGTTATTTGCAGTTTCTTTGCGATAGCAGAATAATGGCACGTGAATATATGGATTACATGCTGTGATACTTTAGACCTTATACCTTAGTCTAGGCAAATATATGACGTTTTTTTGTGCTTTTTTTTGTCCACTTCATATTTGTACTCTGAGGAACGTTTCAGAGACTTGAGAGCTCAAATGCTGAAGAAAATTTCCTCTCCAAAGAGAAGGTCCTTGAAAAGATTTAAACATCATTATGGTAACTGGATGCTGCACAACAGGCTTCAATTTATTTATAGATGATTCACATAGAATTTTTTTTTTGTTTTTTTAATAGACATGAAGTAGAAAATATGTTTGATGATGGTAAGAAAGTGGTACTTCAGTTCAGCACAATGTGGGAGGTTTTTATTATGATGCCCTGTTTTGTGTGTTTTGCAGATGGAGTTAAACCACTCAAATAAAGAAAACTATTTTGAATATGCCATAAATGATGTTAGATAGGATATTTCCATTGTAGTTTGATAAGGATTTTTTATTGAAAATTGTCAAATCTGTAGAGAATGCTGAATTCTCCAAACTGGTATTTTGATCACAAATGAAAACCTTGAAAAAAGACCTTCTTGTTCATCTTACTGTGTGTGAACAAAGTAAATGTAATAAATGTTCAAGGTAAATGGATTTAATGTTCAAATTTAAGTTACATTTGTATTTCATTTAGTCACATTTTCAAAATGAATTATTATTATTAGCATCATTATTACTGTCTAATTCTCTCCCAACTTTGATAGCAAAGTTAAAACCAGCCAGAGGTGGTTATGTCCTCACTGTATGTGAATTTTTCTTAAGATTTTAGAAATCAGACGCTAGTGCTCAAACGCTCTTGGGTCCTTACACAAATGTTTCTTTTTTAGTGTCTGTTTTCCTCCCTCCAATTTATGTTAGGCTTCACACCATCAGTCACTGTGGCATAAACTCCCCAACCCTCCTTTCTCCAAACATAGTTACTGTATGCAGATCCGTAAGCAAGAACTCAATTACAAACGAAGAAAAAGATTTAGCTGAACCTTTAACAACCGAGGAGGCAAGATCTGCAATTTAATGAAGTATGAAAGGTTTACAATTCTTTATCTCACACAGCCATCTTAATCCTGTTGTTTTTTTCAAATAGTGTACTGGGCGCAGTAAGTCTGGGTATTAATCATGTCAAATATCTCATGGAGGCTCATTGCTGTCTCAGGCTTAGACTCCCATCAGGTGTCCTGCGTCCCACGGGGGGAGAAAACAACAAAGCATTGTGATCAACACACAGGTGTCGTTAAATAACTTTACCAGAGTGCTTTATTATTTATCTCAGTGTGGACTAGGTGGTGTTAATTATTTTAGTCTAACTTATCAAAGTATTTCACTACCACCGCCTGAAAAATTTTCTCATCAAGAGATTATCAGTGCTAATCAGTCAAGTGGAAACAAGCAATTTTACAGTATTCTAATAAGGTTGTTTCACTGTAGATTAGCCTGGTCTAAATCAATTATTCCTTTCCGTCTGTTAAAGCTCTAAAGAGACCTTAAAAACTCTCTGAGTCTTTTTTATTTCATAGTTGTTGATATTGTGAAAAATATTAAAAATTCCCAACTGCATACTAAGGTTGGGTTTCTTTATTAAAAAAACATTGCCAACTGTAAAAAAAATAATAAAAATCTAAATTTTCAGGAATCTAAAAAAACAAAGGAAAGCTTTTATGGAGGGCCGTCATCTGCATCTCAGATCCATGAATGAAGCCGTTTTTCCTTTACTGTCGGGTTTTATGTTGGGGGTGTGGGGAAGCTTTATTATACAGATGCATTTCACATGCAGAACTGCTATGTTGAATGCTTCCCCGTGATACGTCAGAAGGAGACACTTCTGACAGCTAATCATACGCCAGATTGAGATAGGTTTGTCAGTAAGCTAATGGAGTGTTGGAAGGTTAATTTACAACCATATGAATTCCATCAATAAGCAATTAAGGAGGTGTGGAGACACTCGGGCCAGAAGCTAAATCCCCAACACAAACCCCAACCTACCTTTAATCAAATAATTGCTGTGGCATGTCTATTCAAGAGCATTTGGTTGATACGCTCATAAAACTGCCCTGTAAAAAAAGGCACTGCTCCCCACATGACCCCTTTTTGTTGCCTCATGTGCCTTCAGGATTTGGATATTGCAACTTCCGAAGAGACGTTTCCCTTACCTCACGACATCTTTAAAAGATAGCTCAAGTTCTTATTCTGATAAGAGCTTTTGCTCAGTGAAGAATTCATAAGACCCCCCCCCGGTGCCAAATCTAGAGGGGAATAATATGCCAGGCAACTGTTAAATGCCTATGCTGGGTAGAAGATGAAAGGCTCGTGAAGAAAAAAAATCTTGTAGAAATTGAGAACACGTGAAAAACTCAGCATCCTCAGCTAATGTTTTGAGAAGTGCATTTGACGCTCAGCAGTCCTCATCAAAATTCAAAAAGGTCCTTGAGCAGCGACCCATCATTGGCTGCAGTAATACGTCTTTTAAACTACCACAATATGAGGTATTCACATCCCTGCTAAATGACGGGCTAAAACAGTGAGCCGAACTTCTGATTTTCTGGAGGATGCCAAAAAAATTTCCTTTCATTTCACCCTTCTCCTCGCAGCGCTACGCTGTAATGCCGTGAAGCCTTGCTCACATGGTTTCCTATTCACCACCATGGCGTACTTGCCGGAATCCCTGGGGAGATTCAGATAGTGGGTTTACGATATGATACGTATGCAATCTTATAACTTATCAGCCCCATCAGAATCACATGAGCCCTGGGGAGTTTTGAACATATTGTCCCAGTCATTCACTTAGCGCTTTAAGAGGAGATTCTCTCCGCAGGTTCTTGCTTTCTTTTGAAAAACCGATGCAGAAAATAGATAAAGCGGGTCTGTAAAGCTGAATCGTTTTAGTATTTTTTTCCGCTCTCATTTTCTTGCTCTTACTCTGCTGTCAGTATTGCCGGTTTCCTTCCAACATGTAAAACTCTAAGATGACATTCCATTATAGTGCTAAGTGCCGAGATGCTCCGAGAGAGTGAAAACTGATGTTTTCCAGCTGTTAGGGGATGTCCGGGGTTGCATTTTTGTGTCTTTCCAATGCATTAAGATATTGTTGTGTAAAGCTCTTCCCCTGTCCTTCACAGCACCTCCAAACAACATATCGGTGGTGGCAGAGAACACTCCAGCCCCCTTCAGTCGATACCAAGCCCAGAATTTCACTCTGGTCTGCACTGCAAAGGGAGGGAAACCAGCCCCATCGGTGAGTTAAGATGTGATATGCTGCTTGTTCACTGGAGGCACATCTATAGAGCAAACATAATGAACTTGAGCAGAAAAAGGAAAAGGGGACAGGTTTAGTTTTATTTTCAGGGTTCAGGTCTACCAGGTGTACAAAATGTTTAATTTTTTTCATTTTTATCGTTCTATACAAATTAGGTTTGCATGTTGCATGACAGCGTTTTTTATCCAACAGCCTGTCACAGGTATTCAGCATTCATTCTTCCATTCATTTTTTGAATACATTTAGATATAATTATAGACTTGACTGTAACTGATCGTGGAAAATAAGACTTTTACGTATGGCAGTCAGTTAAAAAGGTGAATCAGATTTAGGAAAGAGACCCATTAGTGTTATCAATGATCGCATTTACGGCAGTTAGTCCAATTAAAGTGTCACGATAGTGACAACTGGACAGAGAATTTTCACATATTATCCTCCTACATGCACTTTTGGAGGCTCACCAGAGTGTACATGCATGTAGTCAACAGCATGAAATTGCTCAGTCTCCTGTCACTCAACATTTTTGTCTTTCTTTTGAAGAGTAACACAAGGTCTTGCCAAATGGGCTCAGATGTTCAATGACACTTACGAGCATTTGGACGCTGTTTGAGGCGGTCCACTCACTGTTAGTTCCCAACAGGCCATTAATCATCATCAACGTATGTATTGTAATGGACTCCAGGTCCTGAGCACACCTATCTGCTGCAATTATGGGCCCAGTGAGAGGTGAAAACAAGGTGAATATGATTTCCGCACTCTCTGCTTGATAGTGTAATGAGTGAGGATTTCACATGGAGCCTTAAGGAATTAATGCTTCCATTTTTTTTTTTTTTACGGGAAAAATAATGGCTCGTTTCAGCTGATCAGCAAGAATAGATAAATCACTTTGCTGACAATTAACTTTGCTAGTATGAGAGTAAAAATAGGCTTTTTTTTTCTTATACTGTTCACTAAACTACAACTCATATTTGAAAGTATATTAGATTTATTGATGAATGTCAAAGATGGATGTAGCCACCACATTTTAATTATGAAGTCAATGGGTGACACCACACCAGCCACTAGTTTCCTCACTTATTCAGATCAACATGCTCGTAATATGATGTTTAATTATGTTATAGCCATAAAAGAGAAGTCACCTTGTCCACTATCCACTGTCTAGCCCCTCTATTTTATCTAAAACCAAAGATGATAATAGACACATGTCAAAGTTTTTATTCTACGCTATAGAACTAAGCTAATGGGACCCACGTCAGCATAATAACAATATGGCGATGGCATATTATAAAGAGTTAGGAGCAAAATAAGATAAAATAATCTTTTTAATCAATCATTTTTAAAAATAGTACGTTTTTTTTGGTTTACCAGAAGGTTTGAGGATACTTAAAGTGTAAGACATTCACAAATGTCCATGAACCACCCAATATCTTGTAATCAAAGTTATTGCAAATTACTATTCACATTTTATCAAGATATACGGCCAATATAAAGAAAAAGTATGATTATTTCCATAGAAACATAGGATTTTGGTTGCTATTGCAATAGTCAGTCTAAAGAACTGGTCTGCTGAACTATTTAGAAAAAAAAATACCGAACCCAGAATCTTTCTAAACGTAGTAAAGCACTTTGAAAACGTACAAATAAAAATGCTTAGTCTTGCTTAAAAGTAACAAGGCCCTTCAGAATCATCAGATTATTTCCAAATAGGCTCTTTAAAGCATTTTCCCTCTACTACTGGGGACCTTACTTCTTACCAGCTTGGAAAAGTACGTATGAAAACTTAAAAGATTCACACCCCAAAGGGTATTGTGACTTATTCAGTTTGAGCGGTAAATCTAATATATGCTGGACCATAACAAAAGTAATTCAACTTTATTGTCATGGCATCATGATGGTGAAATATGATAAGGCACTGTAAATGTAAAATTTGAACCAGAGAAAAATGCAGGAAACAAAACGAACACGACACTCAGATGTTAGTTGAGCAGTCTTTGCTCATCCCCTGAATCTTGAGAATGTTTAATTAGCCAGCACAAGCGAAAACACCTGCATGTGAGGGCGAACGTGAGGGCCCTTAAAGATTCCTAGAGCTCTCAGAGCTTGGAATTAGTAGTAGTGAAATTAGACGTGTGTGCCTCTGTGTGTACCAGTAAGCTCCCAGAGAGAATTTACTACTACATCTTGCAAAGAGTCTCTAAACAAAAACTGACTTCACTAGCAGTAATTAGCTTTAAATCAAACAGCCTAAAGGACGTAGTACACCCGGACAACAGCAAGTCTACCCATCCAGAACACGTGAATGTAAAACCCTTTATCTTGTGAATTTACATTGTTTTAGACTGGCTACTTAAAATGACCATGTGCATATCCATGAACTTGTATTGAGGAAAGATTTTCAAAGCAAATTCTCATCAGGGTCATTTGGAGTCTTTATTATGATCCTTAAGGGAAGCAAATGTGCACATTTTGAACAGTGATTAATTTATTTTTTTCTATCTCGTCACACAACGTTGCTTCTAGAGTAAATGTTAGGATATTATCTGACAAATGTCGGCTGGCAAAGTAGAAATTGTCTTGAAGCAATCAAAGTTAAACACACAACAAGCTGCTAATTAATGCCAGGCTGCAACAAAAACACTGACAATACAAAGATGAATAAATGCGCCATCATTCATATTTCATGTATTGCTTGCATAGTATTACAGATTAACCATAAGCATAAATATTGCATTTAAACTGTTTTCCATTTGTTCTATTCATGCTATTATCTTCAGTCACGCTGCATATAAAAGCTCATTATTAGGTTTGTAAGTACTCGCTTGAATGTTTGCTGCTTTGGCCCAGTTGTGTTGCTGTAACTTCAAACGGCTCCCTTTGCTTTTTGATGAAACTCATTTAGCCTCCGTTCAAGCTGATGCCCAGAGGGCTGCTGCAAAATGAGCTGGATCATTGCAAGCATGTCTCAATCACAACCTGCAAGGAAACAGGACCAAGTGATTGAGCCATTATTTAGGGACAGATGCTTGACACAGCCATTCTCCAAGTGTCTATTGTCATCACTTAATCTCGGCAAAACACACACATAACAGGAGGGTTGAAATAGTTCCATAGGCCCGACGTCACTGTTAAGGCATGCTGTAATAAAAGCTAAAGCTGGTCCGAAAACATGAGTAACGTGGGAAGTTTCTTAGACTGTTGATATTTTCAAGTCTCGATCTACCACTTTTGCATTTTCGCTAAGACGGAGGTCAAAAGAGCTCCTACCGTTTTCCTGATTGATTATGGTCCAGTGACTGAAACGGTTTATTTCAGTGTGAAATGGATAAGGTTAGCACGCTCGCAGATGTTTTATTCATCATATGAATTTGAATGGAAAATTGTCCTGAAATGAGCTGCTGTGGTTATAACTAATTTTTTATTTCCATCCTGTGGAGATATCAGTGAAATATTAGGGGGTCTGGTGTTACTTCCTGGCATCGGTGATAAAATGCATTTCTGCTTTAGAAATGAAAAGCCTATCAAAACAAGCATGGCCGTGTATTTTGTGTCGTTAATGACAAATCTATCTTTTTTTTTTTGTTACCGTCATGAATGTTGCTCTTGCTGAATAAATCCATCCATTAGAAGTCTTCACTTTTTGTCTTGTTTTGTTTATCACCTCCTCATGGTTCCAAAGTAATTTGTTTCCAATTACCCGATCACTATGACTATTGTCTACACGATTCTCTTTCATGGTCCTGACAAGTAGCTTACTTTCAGATTTGGTGTCATTTCTAACCTTGGATTTGCCTTCTCTTCTGAACAGCACCTCAAAATATGCATGTTCATGCAGCCGTTTACTTCCTTCTCTAAATGTTTTGAATGTAACTCTTTTTTTTTCTAATTCTGTTGCTTTCTCTCCGCTTTTTTCGGGAGGTCTCCATAATGCCAAGTTCCTGAGTATAGCTTGGAAAAGGCTTAAAATGAAGGGCCGCATTTGCGGGAAGTATCTGCCATTATGTTTCAAGATCTGTCAGCATCTGATGTCACCGAGCAAGCTGGTGACATATCAATAATAGCTTCCCAGTGCCACTATTAGAACGTTCTCAGAGCACAAGCGAGCGCTGATTGAAAAGAGGAAAGATAATGACAGTTAATAATAAGCGGGGAAACTGATTAACTCATGGCCATGATCTTTCTCAGTGCCTTGCTCTTCTGTCTCTCTCCTTTTCTTTTGCCTCCGCTCTCTCATTGAATCATCCTGTCACTATGAAAATTACCGCCCTGTCCCTTTGACACCAGCGTGATTAATTGCAGCAACATAAAGGTGTATATGAACCAATGTATGATTGTTTTATTTGAAAAGGGCCTTGGATTTTAAATGTTTGTGAGGTGGAAGCAGCTTGGCAGTGTGCAAAGTGCAGGTGCTTTCATCACAGTCTATTCACAGAGAAATGCAAAAGCCCTTTTCAAACTATCCCAGCTCACTATGGTCTTGGCATGGGCTCTTGTTGAGAATTACATCTTTTTCTCTCTCTCTCTGTGCTAATTCATTTCAGAATGAAGTGGTTTGTGTATGCTTTCATTGTCTGCACATTGGACTATGAAGTATTTGGGGATTTATAACACAGCCGTGATTGATAATCGCTTTATTCCGTGCAATAACACAGTATGACAACAAAACACTGTAATGCCAACACACACATGTACATTTTCAAGTCCCAAATGACTTTTAAGTAATTGGGCCAGAAGGTTTTGAACTGAGTGAGTTGGTGTTTTGATAAGAGATATAGATATAGAAAGATTATATTTTTGATCAAACTTCTCTTATTCAGCATAGTTTTTGACAGGATACTTTCTGTTTTCCCTTTTTGTGCATTTACATCTTTAGGTGCCAGCCAAATTTTAGCTTTACAAAGATGAATTTCACAAATAATGTTTTAATTTCTCCTAACGCGAATTAACTGGGGTCTTAACCTAAATTGCTTTTATTAAGCATCTAACAAATCACACAGCAGTTGAAGTTCTTGCTTCTGTCTTTGCTACATTGAAACTGTGATTTTTAGAATTGAAACATTTTGTGCTGATAACGTTTCCAGATGACTCAACTGATTTGAATCTTTCAGCCGTTTTGATACAATAGACCTAAGTTCTAGACCTCCTAACGTTTCACTTTCTTTATACGTCTGCTTATATTTGAACTGCAACCGCAATAGTTTACTTCCATTCCCATTCGGTGAAAGTGACCTGCTGGTGATGGAGGTAGAAATGAACAGAGCAGGATCCTGAACAGAAATAACACTTCTCACTCCTCGATTCCTCGAGAATTCGAGAGTTGATGCAGCACAGAGCAACAGCCCCGTGTTAAGTCATGTAGATGATTGTCTCTTGCCTCATGTACATGCATATACCTCCATATATTTCCAAATGAGCTCTTTCCTGAAAATAATTCCTTCAAGACCTACCGAGGCTACGGAGCACCTATCAAAATGCTGATGTTAATGTGTATCCACGTCCATTTTGCGCAACAAAAAACTACAGAACAGGTGCTCGGAACCATCTAATACACAACGCAGCCTCCACCTGCTGTGATAATTAATGAGGTGGTCCGGTGTGCAGTGAGGAGTCGGAATTGGTAGCAGATGCAGTCGGGTCACTGTGGATAAGACTAATGTTTATTCTGCTCATTGTGCCGGTGGACTTTTAAGCTGTGGTTAAGCACACGAGGCAAACGCAGTTGGAGGCTATGGATAGTTGAAACCAAATGGCAAGAAATAAAAGAAAAATCCTCTTGTGAAGCTGTAATTCTTTGTCTCTTCTTTGCAATGATTTGGCTTTAATACATTCAGCAATTAGGTGGATTCCCAGACATAAAACAATATTAGCTCACTCTAATGGCAAGGCAATTATTGTCTCACTTGCAAATGTCACACGCACACGTGTTGTTTGAGAGATTTTGTATGTATACTGCATAATAGCCCAAAACAAAAATGAAAAGCAATTTGAATTAAATTACACCTAAGGTTAGAAAAAGCTTGCTCTGTATAAGCTTGTCGAGACATCCTAAAAAGAGCAAACTGAGAAACTCAGTAGTAGTTTGAATGGAAAGCATGTTTGAACCTCTGTCTGTGCTTTGTGGGTCAGGCAGGTAGATGGGGCTGCTGACCACAGGAAGCACAAAAGGTCAGAGCAGCAGGTTGGTCAAGAGAGTTAGTTGAAATTCTTGCAAGCAGGTTTTCCTAGCCTCTAAATGTAACGGAGCCTCGGGAAACTTAACTTCAGCAGGAAGAAGCTGCAAATTAAACTCCATAGGCTATGCCTATTTATAGGTAAACCTATCCCTTTGAAATAAGTCTTAGTATGGCAGTGTCCTTCCATTCTAAATTCTCAAAATTGTAAAAACTTTCATTTCATTTTCTTTGTATGAAACTTGTCATCAACAGTTGAGGGAAAAACAGAAAACTGTCACTTCAAAGGTGAATGCCTTTTCATGGAGAGAGCCGTATATTCTTAAGCTTCTTTTAGTTCAAGGTTTTCAGTGCAAATAGAGGCTCAATAAATCAGACTATGAGATGGCCTTTTAGAGAGTTCTGCTTGAGCAATCTCCACACACGCGGAAAAAAAAGCTTTTTGGTAAAATTCCACAGTCGTCAAAAAGTGAACTTAGATGACCAAAAGTCCTCAACATGCTGCGGATGACTTTTTGTTCCTTCATAACACATTGTTTCTAAAATAATGTTCCCATAGGCAATGACAATACAACCTTGGTCAAATGCTAATATCTGTGAGAAAGGGAGCACAAGTTCCCAAGCAGCAGACCTGTTAAACTCATGGAGAAGTTGACATTTTGGTGATATTGTGAGATATCAATTGATGAATATTACAGTTTTCACTGTCCAAACCACATTTTAATTTTTGTAAGACTCTTTAAGAGTCTTGGGATACTAAATCACAACATAAATTCATTAATCTTATTGCATTTTTCACTACTGTAGCGTAGCTTTTAGTTACACCACCTTTTGGCTGCTGCTATTCTTCTCGATAGTGATGACTTACTGACACTCATCACACTGGATATTACATTTTTCTTCTGACATAAACAACAAAGCACTCTTTTGTGGATTTTTTCTGTTTGTTTTGTTGTTTCCTATAGGTCTGGTTAGGTCATTCCTCCATTGTGGATTTTCGCAAAGCCACGCATGTGTTTTCTTTTGTGGTTTGCTTACAGTAGCTCCTTTGTTGAAATGTAAATTTTCACCCAGACTGAAATGTTTCCTTACGGGATCGCTCCCTGGACCTTTGTTTGTCAATCTTCACCTTCGACTGGCTTCCCTGCCCATTTCATGGAAAACATGTCCAATAAATATTTCAATCTCCAAGTCTAATCAGGAGATGGTATTGATGAGAGAATGATCAAGGCTGGATTCTTGCCCAGATGCTTTTGGGGAATTGTGGCAACAATTCATGTTTAATCATGTTAGAATATTACCTTCCTGTCTGATCAAAGCCTTTTCCCCTTAAGTTATTTAGTTTAGCTTTGGAGCTGTTTTGTTGTCTCACACATGAATAGACATGATCTTAACCATCTGGGTTGTTTTTTTTTCATATTACATAAGAAATTTGAGAAAAACAAGTATAAATAGTCTTTTGTGGATTGAATTCAAGGAGAAACCGCCATCAAGTTGACCATTGTCATGGAAACAAATCTCTGAGTTGGCTCTGTACATGCAATGCCAGGACATGAATTTGTGTTAAATAGGGCACAGAGATGCCATTGAGAGCACAAAAAAATGCACGAGGAAATGTGGAGCGAAACTGTGGCGCGGGGCTGGAAATCTCAGGTGCATGATAAAAGATGATGAAGATAGTTATGAAAAATAGGCCCCTATAATTTTAAGGTTCACAAAATACTCTAGTGATGCTAAAGCTGGCTCAAAATAACATGTTATTGAGTTGATTTTTTCTTGAAATTCAGATTTTTTGGGGGTTCTACATAAAAAAGTTTGACTAAACTTTTGATTTCTCCGTTGTTTTTTTTCTCCCTCTTCTCTTTCTCGACGCCACAAAGGTGTACTTTAAGCGCGACGGCGAGCTGATAGAGGTCATTTCCTACACTCAGCCGTCCAGTGGCGAGCAGGGAGGGGGCTCAGCGGGGGTGAGGGGGGCCAGGCCGCTCCTCAGCAGGGACCTGGACGAAACCAAGCTGCAGCGGTCCCTCTCCCTGCTGGACCCCGAGGGGCGGTCGGCCCGCCTGTACACGGAGAGCCCCAAGCGCGTCCACACCCAGGGCCAGCAGGCCCACGAGCCCAGCCCCGCCACCGAGGTCATCCCGGAGACGGTGGTGAGCCGGGAGTTCCCCCGCTGGGTGCACAGCACGGACCCTTTGTACTACTTCAGCCACGCGCACCTACCGCAGAGCGACGGCTCGGTGGTGGTGCAGGCCCGGCTCACCTGGACCCTCAACCCCCAGCTGGACAACGACGCCCTGTTCAGCTGCGAGGTCAAGCACCCGGCGCTGTCCATGCCCATGCAGACGGAGGTCACTCTAGGTGAGCGGAACGCTCGTCTTGTTTATTGCATGTCGTTCTTCATTTTGTGCTCAATTTTATTATTCTGGGGGCGGCACGGTGGTGTGGTGGTTAGCACTGTCGCCTCCCAGCAAGAGGGTTCTGGGTTCGAATCCCGGGGGAACCAGGGCCCTTCTGGGTGGAGTTTGCATGTTCTCCCTGTGTCTGCGTGGGTTCTCTCCGGGTTCTCCGGCTTCCTCCCACAGTCCAAAAACCTGCATGTTAGGCTGATTGGAGATTGGGGAAATTGCCCTTAGGAGTGAATGTGAGTGTGAGTGGTTGTTTGTCCTTGTGTGTCTCTGTGTGGCCCTGCGATGGACTGGCGGACTGTCCAGGGTGTACCCTGCCTCTCGCCCGTTGACCACTGGGATAGGCTCCAGTTCCCCCCGCGACCCCATGAGGGAATAAGCGGTATTGATAATGGATGGATGGATGGATTTTATTATTCTTCCAACGCACACGTGAAAAACCCTTTTTCTCGTCCGTTCGTCTTTTTTTCCCCCCGCTTTGCACTTGGAAACCGACCGAGCCTCCTTACGTCTCCCCCCCTTTGCAAATGTACTCAGGACACTGATTTTCATTTGAAGCTGCTTTAATTGTGTTACAGCCGAGCAGATTGCGGGTTTAGTGGTGAATGCACAACTCCCAATGACTGACAGGGCAATTCATCGAGCTGTCTGTTTGCTAGATTGACTCAACCCAGAACTGTTATTGAAAAAGTCAGCCCGAATTAGAGAAGTCAGATGAGAATTTGGACACACTGACCAATGTTATATAATTGCAAAAACTCAGTAATCATCTAAAAAAATGCTGCCCTTGATCAAACTTCAAATTTGAACACTTATATGAAGCCCCAGACGCTCTCAAATATAACCGTGGAAGTTTTTTTGTATTATTTATTATTTAGGAATCTGGTGCTGTGATGACTTGATACTGTAAACCCACAAATGAAGAAATAACTACCGACAACAGGAGTAATAAATTGAAAGAAAAAATACCATTAGGTGTTTGTCTCTAAGTGCGTTTACGCGTCTGTGGTCATGAAAGATACCGAATATACTCTAGGATCAAGAGAAATAGATACTTACTATAATTACATTTTTAAAAATAAGTTCTCCAAAAGCAAAGATAGCTCGGAGTGCATTTAATAAACACTTCAAAGGCAATATGCTGGCATGGTTCCTTTTGGAAAACATCCATGCAATCCTTACATGATAAATAGAGATACAAGACACAAGCAGCTAGACAGAGGCTGGGGCTGTTCCATATTTTACTTTACTTACTGTATTGTGACTTGCTCGCAGTAATTTGTCTCACATCAGCAGTTTTCGTTTGATTAAAAACTCTCCTTTGTATGCTGTTGACGAGCCATAGACAGTCTTCATGCATGTCCAGTAGCAGCCACAATTATGTAATATTTTAAAGTGCTTAATTGCTGTAAAAGGTAACAGTGTGAAATATATCTCAAAGACCATCTCACTTTTGTTTTCCTCTTTCTGGATATCTGTGGAGGTCTGAAGACTTGTGATGCTGTCATCTTAAAGAAAGAAAGGGTCCTGTATTTCCCCCTTCACTCTTCTATTTCCCGGGTGCTTAAGTTTTCCACCCACAATCTAAAGAATGATTTGTTGGTTTAAGTGGTAAATTTATGTCTTTCGTACAGAGTACAGTGCACCTCACCATGTGCTTAAGCTGTATGATTTCTAAGATGAAAAGATTTCTTTCTGGAACCATATTTGAGGTTTCTTTCTTCCATCAAACCTGTAAATGGAGGGCAATACATTGTGTACTTTTCTTGTAGCAATCAGGCAATTACTCTATTTATATGTATGGATGTGCAGTGTCATCTTTGAAATAAGAGCTGTAGCCACAAATGTGCTTGTGTGAGTGGATATACAACAATCAAAGTAAGTTTTTGATTAAAAAAAAAATTGGAATGGACAGATTTGTTTACTTGCTTTAAGGAAAGATGCCGACTGCGAAGTGTTGGTTATTATTGATGCTTCTGTGCAAATGTAATGGTGTTTGGGTAGGCATTAGAAATATTATAAAACTCAATATGTAGCTGGACTTTCTCCAGAAGTAGTTGTTTACAGTTTTGTGTTATTCTTCCACCAACACTTTGCACAGAATGAGTGCAGTGATGCTAACTGTTTTAAATGGACAGCAAACACTTGTCAGTATATTCTTGAAATCATTACGTTTATCTCAACTCATAATAAGTCAGGAATTTTTTTCTTAATTTTTTCAGGAATTCTTCCAGTATTCTTCAATGATTTTTTAATGTAAGAAGATAGGAAAAACATTCTCTCACATAAGTTTAAGACATTTTCTGTGAATGAGCTCAATGTATATGTAACATGGTCGCTCCATGAGACTCTTGGAAGAGGTTTTGTAAAGCCCTCTTTAGCTTTATTCCACAGCATCAGACAGGGGTAAAGTCTATGCCACAGACCCCCCCACATGACATGAACTCCCCACATGTGTTAGTACATGTTGCAACAACTGTGAGGGGGCTGCTTGTCGTGTATTTACACAGCCCCGGCTTTGCCCACATGCAATGCCCCTGTGACACTTTAACATGATCAGGTATCACAGTAATGAATCACAATGACCAGTACTCCGCCAGAAGCTATTTTTCTCATTTTCGAAGCCATACTCATAGAAAGGAATTTACAACCGGTCATTTATTTCCTGTCAGCCATAAACTGAAGTGGCATTAGAAAATCCTGGTGTCAGTTTAGGATGGGGACCTTCTCTGAAAACGGACCAACAATGCACAAACAAGTCACATTAATAGGCTACACATTGAGCTAAATTCAAAGCAGAAACTGGCCTTAAATGTACCAGAATAGAATTAGAATAGAGACTATGATACCCTGTCCAGGTGTTTCATGACTTTCATTCAGTGTCAGCCCAGTCAGGCTCCAGCCTAGTGACATCTTTAACATGATTAAATGTAATTCATATTTCAGATATCAAGTTGCCCTTAGAAAATTAAAACAATGTTACAAAAGCACTTTTGAAACACATCTGCTTTTCCTTTCTGGAAACAAATAGTGTGTGTTTTTACTCTGCCTGCTGTGTTTCTCTCACTCATCTGTTGGTTCACACGAATATTTGCAGAAGATTGATCTCAACCTCCCAATATCCCTTACCCATTTTGTTGTTTCACATGTGACTGTAAATAGATGGTAGTATGGAAAACAAAGGATATCTAAAAGAAGATTTGTTGACAAAATATTAGAAGGAAAGTCCCTGAACACATTTGTAATTGAGTCATTAAATTATATTGAATGAGAATTCCTCAGAGGTGGGGCTTTTTGATTTGTTTTAATTTGATTTGTATATTTTTTATGATAGTAAAAGTGTTCGAACAGATATTAAACAAATGCAAAAACCAACAGTATTTCTTTGATCAATTTCATGATTAATTTATTGTGGAGTTGGTAGGATTTGTATTGTTTCAATTCATCCAGAAGTTGGAAAAAGCACTTTAGGCCATATGTACGGCCATTTGTCGTAATTGCTGAAGTCACTTTAACAAATTGGTATGTTTCGCAGCAGAAAATTGTTTTAAAATGTAATAAATGACACCTTCATGCAAGAAGTGAAAAGAAATATTGTACAGCCAATACAAGTAAAAGACAGCAGCATCACTTAAAGGGATAATGGCTTAAACTGTCATCTCAAGACAGTGTAGCTGGAAGGGCCTTTTTTCACATGATGTTGACAAAACATATGACACCGGAAATTGGTCCTGTCAAGCACTTGCTAAATGCTATGAATACTAATATTTTGGCAAGTCTTTGTTTGCTGGGAACTCAAACAAAGCAAACATTTTTCTGTTCTTATCGTCTTTTAAAGAGGTGGTAAAACCACCAGGCATGTTGTTATTTTCTCACTGAAAAGAAAAAGAACTTAAAATGCACATTTATTATTGTATCACAATTATGTAGAATTTTAGAATTCAAAGGATTTTGCTGACCTCCTTGTACTTCTTACTATAGAGTTTTTTTTCTTAAAAGTAAAATAGTTTTGATTCAGTTTTGAGGTTGTGTTGTGATGTTGCAAAAATAGGGAGCATAATCTTCTTTTAGCACGATATAACTGTAACTTTACATATAGAACGGACCAGCTAAGGATTCCCATAATTTCCTTGTCCTATTCATTCATATCAACCAGCTGTAATAGTATTATTGCGCACACACACACACCCTCTTGTTCCTTTCAGGTGCGTGCCTGCGGTCAGGAAATGAATGGGGGATCTTTTCAGACTTCATAAGTCATAAATCTTTCAGAGATGTAATATAGCCACAGGAGACAGTGTGACACACTGACAATTGACCAGTGTTGTAGCATATTTCATGCATATTCATGAACGGCTCTGCGCTCACCATACAAATGTTAACTGAAGCTGGTAGAGGATGTTGGGAGTCTAAAAATTCATGAAAATGACATCATGCATGAGCATTAATATAATTAGGATATGAAAGAGCAGTCTGTCTTCAAGCCGGGCTTCACATTTTAGTTTTTTGCCTGGCCAAAAATTCAAAGGACAGACGTTTTAGTCACGACAGACGAATAAAAGACGTCAAACAGGCAGAAACGTTGCCAAGAATCCTGCAAAAAGTACTGTATATGTCTCTATTTACGACCAACAGGATGACTGTGAATTTGTGTTGTGGGGAAGTAAATCATATGCATCCATATGCTCAGCTTTTGGTCACTAAAAATAGCAGGTTTGTAGAATCCGTAACAGGTGTTACGCTAGGCTTTTCGGCAGAATGATCCAGCTGTCAGTCCTTTTGGACATGGCTGCTTTCCTGTCTGGCTTTTTTTTTTTCCTTTTCAAGTGAACCATTCTCCATGCTAATGTGACAAATTTCCTGAAGTCTGTTCAACAGCTGCAGAAACCTGTCTGTGTCTTGTCTTAGTTTTGAAGTAAGTCTGATATAGAAGGAGGTTTTTTTTTTTTTGAGAAGCAAGCTTTTGTTCTCCGACCTCTTATGAAGTGTTTTTTTTTTTTTTGGGTTCTAAGGTGAAGTTGGTGTGTATGTGTGTGTGTGTGTGTGTGGGGGGGGGTCCTATTTCCCCTGTGAAACCCTCTCCTGAGAGAGGCTGTGTCATTTCCGTCACACTGCGTGCCGCCACAACCAAAGTGTGGTGACGTAGTAAGCCAACTGTCACTGTTGGAGCAGATCCCAGGAATCGGCCATCATCTCCCGGCCACATGCCTTCCAGACTCCACGACCTGACGATTTAAAAATACTCCGCATTTATTTTGGATGAGGAAAGAAAAGCAATGTCACCATGGAATGCCAACCTGGCTTGTGAAATGCCATCTTGGGCAGGAGGTGGCACACTCAGCTGGGTTTTTGTCTGCCCGACGTCTATTTCAAACTCTCTGGGATTTTTTTCTCCAATTTGCACTGCTTTGCTTATAATTTTATGGACGAATCAGTTTGTTTTAAAAAGAATTGAAAGTACTGCTAGCATTTTTTTTATTGGATAAATCGCCAAAAATGGTTTCATGCAGTTTGACTTAACCTGTTTTATACCAGCCTAGTCAATAGGATATTGTATCTGGGCAATGCCACATATTTTGCATTATTCCTGCATGCCGTCAACTACTGGGAACAATTTGTCACCAGATGAAAGACAACAAATTCAGCCTCTCATCAATGAGGAAACCATCCAGTGTTATTTATATTAAGAGTTTGAAAAAAATCAACAACAGCAAACCTCCATGGATTTGAAGGGATAACTGATTAGATGCCCATTGCCTGACTCTCATTGCATGTGTTGTTCAGTCCATTGGTTTAGCATATGGAACTACAATCCCCGTGAAGCACTTATCTTTCGGCGAATCGTTAATCATCACAAATCGTGTGGAACCTGCCCGTAATAGCCCGACGTCATGTTCTTTGCAATTTAGTGGTAATGAAATTACTTACCTTTTTTATGGCACACAGCAAATCACTCATTTTATCTCGACAGCTCACATACAAGACAATCACGAGCCCCCGCGCGATTCCGTAATATTGGAATCTGCCCGTTTCCTCTCCCACTGTGCCCTATTGTTTTAGGAGGTAGAAATGAAAGCCATCTGGGTGCTTCTGTCCACACCAAGACGAGGGAATTAGCTCTCTGAGTGTCCCCTTATCTTGCAGCATCCACACACCACCCGTTGCACTTCCATTCTCCTCCAGTAATGAGTCGCTACCCAATTTAGTTCCTTTCCTCTCCAAAGGGAAATAAATCTAAGCCAGTTCTTGGGCTGAAAAAAAACCTACAGGTCCCTTGCCTCTCACCCTGTGACCTTAATTGACAGGAAATTGTAATTTTCTGTCTCCCTCTGTGACAAAACAGGTGTCCGGCAGGATTTGCTCTCCATGCTCAGTACAATGACCTTTTGCTCTGTCTTTTTTTTTGTTTTTTTTTGTTGTTGTCTCATTTCAGCTGCTCCTAAGGGGCCTAAACTCTTGATGACCCCCAGTAGGGCAAAAGTAGGAGACACAGTACGAATCACTGTGCAAGGATTCCAGGTAGGATCACCCGGGGTAAGTGCATGGGGTTTAAAGAAAATGAGATGCAAAGTGTAATGTAAAATGGCATCCTGCACAAATTTGGTTTTTTTCTAATTAAATACAGACTGTCGAGTGCATGCATATTTTAAGCATGGACAAAATATGGATACACATTTTGAACAATGTGTTTTTTCACCCTTCTACAAACGCCTTGAATGATCAATGATACCTCGAAATAGCATTATTTCCAATGGCTAGTATAAGACATCTCTCCTTATTGCAAGAAGTCTAACAGACCCTCCTTTGTCACACCATTTTTCAAATTTGCAATAAGTTTCCTGCTGTTTTTATAAGGAGCCACGAGATTCTAATCATCTTTGGTACCCCATGATGATCATGTGGTCCCATTTATATTGCGTTCTAAGATAAAGCAGGGTTTATATTATATGTGTGGCATTTCGCCAAGCTACCTTGATTGTTGCTTCCTTCAATTTCTATAGATTATGTTTTCATGTGGCCATCATATCCTGCTAAAAAGATCCTTCTGTAGTGTGAATGACCTGCAGAGCGATATGCTCTGCTTGATAGTAGGCAGGCGGAGAGAATAAGGCTAATCCTAACATTGAACACTTCAATAGCCCACAGCACAAACCTCCTTTGTAGACTCTGCTCAGGAATGACGAACACGATTTCACGTTTGATTTTATCTTTTCTTACGAGGACAAAATGAATATTCGGTGTTGTTGTTGGTTTAGGGGCACCGGGGCTATTGGCTGCACACGTGTTTATGTTTGTGCAGTGACCTTGGGACTCACTTAAATCTTCTCTTTGAGCAAGGGGTTAAGATTGGTTATTACAAGTGGGCTTCACTGTGGCATACAGGCAGCCCAGTGCTCGGGCACCGGTGCGTGCAGACTGATCAAAAAGCAAATTTCCTCTTATCCTTCACTGGACCCAGGCTTTAGGGTTTCACAAGTCGATAAGACTTTGTGCCAAGACTGAAAATGCTGGCTTCCGCCTTTTTGATTCAACAATGTTCCCCCCGCAGATGTTAGAACTCCCCAACTCCCCCATGGATTTTGTTCTTTTCATGCATATCGTTTGAATTATCTATCAACATTATTTATTTAAGGATAAGCAACTTGCTCGTATGAACGCTTACCCGTTAAACATTCCCCGTGCTGTCTTGATATCAGACTTTCACCGCATAATTATCCGGACCTGAAATATCCACAATATGAAAAATGATTTAAAAAGAAAAAAAAAGAATTGCTTTCAGCCTGTTTGTTGTCATGCCTGAAAAATTGTCGATCAGGAAACCCCTGACGTGAAAGGGGTTGTTTGAAATTAGGAGGCAATGCATAGCCATGAGAGACTTACATTTTTTTGTGCCAAAAAAGAACACAAACACCTCCAAATCTGCTTGTTTAAAGATTTCAAAGTGTTATGACATCATGTTGTAAACACTTATTCCAAATTAAAAGTCTTTAGAATCTCCTACGGACACAAAATCTTTGAGGTCTGATTTGTAATTTTAGTACCGTTCGTCATGCCAAAGGAAAAAACTGTTACAGATAAAAATTTGATGTCAGTGTATGTGTACTGTATATTAACTATCCATCTCATTTTTTGGGGGGGTGCTTGTTTTATTGTATTGTATTCTTGCATGCAGTATTTTTTCATATCTTGGCTTTAGGCTGAGACTTTCCCTGATCGCACCCTTCTTTTTTTTTTTTCCCTTCATCTTTTCCCCTTCCTCTATGTCATCCTGGTGTTGATAGAATGAGGTTTTCCCTGAGCCGCTCTTCACCTGGACGCGGGTGGGAGGCCGCCTGTTGGACGGCAGCGCTGAGCGAGAGGGGAGGGAGCTGATTCTGGAGAGGGTGCCGGCGGAACTGAACGGCTCCATGTATCGCTGCACAGCCCAGAATCCTCTGGGTTCCACAGACACTCACACTCGCCTCATAGTGTTTGGTATGTACACTTACTGTACCCCTTCAACATGCTTTTGCATACTCCTACAGTAAAGAAAACAAATCAGAATTTTTGTTTTCAATTGGTTTTCTATGTTGACTTTAGATGGTCGCTCTAAGTCATGAATCATTGATGCGACTAAGAGTGCAATTAAAAAAACAATTCATCTCTATTTGCTCAACAATACACTTGTTTAAGGCACCACTTACGCACACTATTTTTAAATGGATGAAGTGGCCATGCCATTAATGTAAAGTCTGATGTTGTTCTATGGTCTGAGCCAAAAACAACCGCAGCATTAGCGATTAAATCAAAGAGCCTTCGTTGTCATCTGTATTGGGAGACCATGTTACTTTGTCAAGGCTAAGGCAAAATCTTTATTGTATTTGAGATGTTCTGGGTGTACCAGTGCTGATATGGGGCCTGGATCATTTATACGGTCTATTAAATCTGAGTGTCCTTCTCCTCCCGTTGTGTTTACACTGCTGATATTATTTGATTATCTGCCGAGTTGCAATTTAGTAAGTTCTGTTTGAGACAAACTTCTAATTGGATGAATGTGACATGGCTTTGACCTGTTGGTTTTTGCGTTAGAATATTTTCAAGATTGGCTCTTTCTCAAAAGTTACATTGTTAATCGCATCCAGTCTGAATCCAGTGATTTAACTGACTACCTGAACAGAAATGATTAACTTTAGGGTTACTAAATTCTTTCTTTAGACCTCAGAAAATGACCTAAGTCAGAGCCATAGTGATTGCAAAACAGGCCTGATTCTTCAAACTATCACTTTTACCTAAAACCATTCCAAAGCAATCGCATAAGACAACTGTTTCAAAGATGACATACCCTTTTCTTTTTTTTTAGCGGCACTTTCATAACTGAGATGTCAAGGAAGAAAACAAACAAAAATAAACAATATAATAATAAATAACACTAAACATTTTTTGTGTGGTGCAGAAATGTGTGGTGTACACACAAAGGTGTTTTTTTGGTCAGGAATGCCCTTTTTACATCAATCAGATTGACACCCTTTTTGTACTTGAGAACCTGAGAAAAACAAAAGATGTGTCCATCTTTTTTATATCCTCCTGCCGGAAACATTCTTGTGCACGGGGTGTAAAGTACGTAGCAAATGCTCAAATTACCGGGTAGGACCAGTAAGAACCCACTTTAAAGGGATAGAGCCACTTTGGGGAGGTGTTACCTTGGGAGATGCTTTGCTAGGAAGAGCACTAATGTCTATTTAACACCCTGGTGCATCCTCAGGTGTCATCGGCTTCGTGCCTAGTATGGCCCATCTGTCTGTCTGCTCCTTGTAGATTGCTTCCACTCATGCTTAGAGGAAGTAAATGGTGATTAAGTGACCTTGGCACCATCCCCCGTGGCCTCGAGATAAGACACTTTTTCTCTTTCTCCGGGATGAAGAGGTTCTGTTCACTTCGCCAAGTGTTCGATACACCCCGTCAGGAATAATGGATTATAATGGCGACCCGGTTTGAAAGACTCTTCCGCAACAAGCGGGCATTTACATCTTGATGATGTCAGTGCTATCTGTCGTCATCCTCGGCGAGAGGACAAAAACTGAGAGATAACTGGGAGCTGAGTGAAAAAGTGAGGAGTCAGGAAGTGACAAACACACGGGCCAAACTGCAGCGGTATGCAAAGACGCACGGATATGTATACTTATGCAAATTTTGCTGGAGCAAGTAAACACAAGGGTCCATATGGAAAGTCCACGCATTAATTTCCAAAGTCTCTCTGAGGAGCTGAAGTGTTAATGCAGTTGCAGAGAGGCCACAGAAAGTTTCACACTGTGCCGTGACTTCCACCTGCTCCCGCACACTTAAACACCCAAATTTAGCTCTCAAAGTGGAATTTAAGAGTGTGGCTAATACCCTCCTGCTCCTTCATTTGCAAATACTTAATCCCTAAGAGAACATTCAGTTTACATTGTGCAGAATAGACAGTGCCGTGGACTATTAAAAGTAGAGCTCAAACCTGGCAGGCAGACTTTGGCCATAGTTTCCAGCTCTCAGAGCGACTAAAACTGTCCTGGTTGTTCCTTTTGCAGGGCTTTGTGTTTCCCAGGTCCATTAACAAGGCCCCGGTCTCCACACCGGGGATGTGCCATTAGTGTGTTCTTAAGGAAACCTTGGAATTCAGCTTCATTACGGAGCGTCAAATTCTGTCTGATACAGTTTTCTCCTGTCTTTTTTTCCCTTTCATGCTCGTTATTTTAATGAATTCCCTCCACCTTTCACCAAATCACTCACTGTCTCTACAGAAACGGAAGTTCTTGATTAGCTAAATGTGTTTTTTTTTTCTTCTTTTCAACAGAAAATCCAAGTATGATGAAGAACACCCAGAATCAAAACAGTAAGTAATTCAGCACCTGACTTCCCAGATTGTGCTTTTGTATGTACAGCACATATAAAAAAAAAAAAAAAAACAGATTTACATGCTGCAGCTGCTTATAATGCAGTTATTTGTCTGTCTTCAGAGAAGCTCTGTGGCTTCAACATTTGTGGTATTTACAGTTTGGAGGAAGAAGTTTTTTGGTTTCCTTCCTAAATGGTTTTTGCCCCAGATAAGCTGCGTGAGAGTGATTCAGTCAGGATTAATCTTTGATAATATTCGGTAGCAGCAGGCTTCAAGTCTCTCCCCGTGACTAACTGTGCCTGTCACTTACGGTTGAGTGTGAGATTATTGGTGTTTCCTATGTGCAGTGGTAGCTCATTTTGTGCCTTCTGAGATTATCATATGTAAAGAGAAGGGATTGTCAGAAGAAATTGCTGAGATATGACAAAATCCTTTCCATCTCTCCTTGCCATCCCTCTGTTTCAGTCAGTCTGCCTCTCTCTCTCTGACATTTGTTTCAACCTTTTGTCCCCCAGTGTCAGATGATGGCTTCATGCAATATCGGGTCGCTCTTTGTCTTTTTTGCCGCTACCTTATTTTTCTTTCTCTTTCTGTTTTTCCCTCTTTCATCATATTTTTTTTTCCGCACTTTCCCTCACTGGCTTAGCTCACAGCCTCTGATTTGATGCAGTTTTTCACTCACCCAGACTTTATGAGGAGTGTAGATTATGCTGCAGTGTGAAAAAAAACATTCAGCTCTGGCTAAATAACCCAGAGTTTGGAGCTTTGACAGATGGGCCTCTGAAGCATGAAGTGGTTCAGAATTTACCGGGACTGAAATGAGAGTGTGACCCCCACAGAGATAGCAATCAGAACTCTGAAACAGTGTTATCAAAAATGAAGTGAATATTGATAGATGACTCTTTAACAGCTCATCTAGATTTAGTAAAGCCTCTTCTCCCTCCGTGACCCCACCCCCCCCTTCTCTCCTCACATGGCTAGCTTTTTTTCTTCAGTCAGACAGAGTATAATCTGCATTTGTTTGCTGGTCAAATAACTCTGCATTAGTCACACACTCTGTTCTCAGACTCTCCCCAATCAGCTAAAATGGAAACAAAATGGAAACAGGACACCCGGGTGGACACATACATTTTTTATGTCTACTGCATGGATAGCTTATTGGAGCCATAAATAAGTTTGAAAGTGTTTGTTCGAACTGAAAAATGAAAAGTCTATGAAACATACAGGAGGAAAAGGGTGACAGATCCACAATAAAAGTCAGCATGGTGGCTTGGAGTTTACTTTAAGTCCTGCTAATTTAAATGTATTTTTCGAACTTGTAGCTAGTGCTATGAAGTAAAAGAGATACTTTCCAGTTTTGACTGGACCCTATGTTTAAGTGTCACTTCTCACCAAGATTATTTTTATGCATCATTAGGTTTGAGTCACCAAACTAGATAAAGACTTTAAAGTGCTGTGTTTTCAATGAAAAGCACTATTCATTATTCACTATTTACTCCTCACATTCACCGATCTCGCAATAGAGGGATTGAACATAACCCTTAGGGTCCTCCTCTGCTTCAGCTTACTTTGCACAACTCTACTCGATTCAACCAGCCATCATTTTACCAGCACCTACACAGCAGGGTTTCCAAGCAAGTTGAGAACTGACCACAGACAGCAGGCCTTATTGGCCAGGGATGAGTCATGAAGGCTACTCCTTCACAAAAGCCCTGCTCATCTTAGAAATCTGGCAACAATGAAGAATTGATCATCAAATGGCTACGCTTAAACCAACACTGTGGTCCAGCGTTCAGCTGGTGTACCATCACCACAATGTCCTTCATTATTTTGTTCTGTTCTGTTGTTCTGGCTCATAGAAATGACATAATGGGACATCTGAGCCATTTTGCGGGTACTATTAGTAAAACCAATCTTTACACAGGTGACAAAAACTGGTTTAGAACTTGAGTCACTACGTTGAAAGTCACTCCTCTACCACTAATCTCCCTATAACTTCTTTGAGGACCATTCTGTCATACGTATATGCCTCATAACAAAGTCTATAATAACTCTGACTGTAAAATGACCGCTCCATTCGGACACCTGGCATGTCTCTGGTAGATGTAATTTGATTCTGACCAAACACTAGTTTTACTTCCTTGATAGCTTTATTAATCTACAGCAGAGTGAAGTCATTATGTGTGGTTAACACATTCCTTTTTTGGTTTACAAAAAGGAATGCCCCCAACAGAAATGGTAAAGTCTGTTACAATTAAGTGCCAATGATGAATCAATAAAGCATCTGTATTGTAATTATTTTTTACAGTGATGAGCTGTTGACAGACTGGAAAATGTCATTTAATGACATGAATAATTATCTACTGCATAATCTGTAGTGGATGTGTGCGATACCCGTGTTTGTCCCCAGCATTCGGTGGAAACAGCTTCCCAAACAGATGGGAAGCGGGGCTGTCTCCAAGCTGAGCCATGCCAGTCGATACAAAAACATTGTAATCCGTCTTTCTATTTAAATTAGCCACATTTTCTTCAGCAGAACTATAGAAATTACCATTTTCTGTGTTTCTTGTGCTCTCTCACGTGTGTTTTTTCAGACCCTCTTAGTTTTTCCATTAGTTTTTTACCTCTTTCCCTCTTGTGCTTCCTGAATCTTAAAGATGCAAATTGTGCGAATGCAAATGTTATGGTGAGCACAGGAACAGGAGTGTCACAGCAAGGACAGAAGTAGGTCAGAATGGATGCACAGACATGCCTTGCATACTAGCCAAATAGGTGTACAACATGGCCCCGAGAGATTACCCCACACACACACATCTGAGCTTAATGGATGAATTGCAAGTCCTTCCCTGAGTGGTATGAACCAATATTGTGAGTCAAGGCCACAGTTGATGAAAACCTGCACACTTTCTATTTATTGCTCTTGTTCAGTATAGAGTTGCTGACAGCACTCGTGTAACTTTACTATGCCTAAGTTAACTGAATTTAGCAGGCACACACACACTATCCATCAAAAGTGTCCAAACCTCTAACTGTTCCTTTATGTACATGGAAAAGAACTTGCCATCAAAAGTTTTGTCGATGAAATTTGCACATTGAATCCAAAATGGATTTTTAGAGCCACCTGAAAGGAACGATGTTCTTCCCAGTTAGAGTGGTTATTCAAAAGAAAAAGAAAGCACTATTTTTTACTAACATTTTATATCCAACAAACAGCCATCCCTCATTTTAAAAGAAGGCCTCCGTTGTCCAAATCAGTTTAGCATAAATGTATTGAGGCCTGATCCAAACAGACTTACAGCTTTCATTGCAGATTGAAAGGGGACCTCAGATGATGATGTTATGCTTAAATTGATGCATTACCAAATAAGATGAAGTATGTAGCTATTGGAAAGGTTCACATCCAATCATTTATGACTTGAATATAGAGTGCCCCCATGATTCTAGATTCTTTTTGCTCATCCTTAAATTTACATTAGTTCTCGTCATCAAAGGAGCTTGAATGCTTTTATCCATCCTGTCAAACATGATTCAGCTTTTTTGTTTATTTAACTCATTTACATTCGCTAATAGGGTCTATTGTTCAGACTTAAAGAGACTTAGAGTTACCTGAGAAGTCTCAGCTCTGTCAGATTGGATAAAAAAGTCTTGCCACACCCAATGCAGTCAATGCCACTTTGCATCTGAGACTGGGCTTTAGCCCCTGTCTCGGCTGTTGACTCAGCAGAAGCACACCAAAGCCAGAAACAACTTAAAAAAAACTTATTGAAAGAAACTCAAAGAAAGTTATATAGGAGTGTCTCAAAAAAGTCAAATGTATATATATTTTTAATCAAATCATTTTTTTTGGAATTTTTCTCTTTTTTTTTTTTTTGGACACTGGTAGTTTGCTAAACCTTTTGAATATTCATGACTGATTTTTATTTCAAAATAAGGTTTTATT